CAAGCATATCAGCAGTTCCCTGTTGATAACCAAACAGCGGAACTTCAGACCATCGTCACTCACAGGGGTGCCTTCAGATGCAAGCGTCTCCAATTTGGCGTAAGTGTTGCCCCAGGTATTTTTCAATCCCTCATGGAGCGGATTTTACAGGGCCTCCCTGGTGTAGTACCCTACTTCGACGACATCTTGGTCTCTGCCAGGGACAGACCCCAACTCTTCCAGAGAGTGCGAGCAGTGCTAGAGAGGTTCAGACAGCATGGCCTCAAGTTAAAAAAAGAAAAATGCGCCATTGCCACTAGACAGGTGGACTTTCTGGGTTATAAAATTGACGCCTCTGGCATTCACCCCCTGGAGTCCAAGGTTAGGGCAATCCACGAAGCCCCCACACCGACCTCCAAAACAGAGCTACAAGCTTTCTTGGGGTTGCTGAACTTTTACGCATCCTTCTTGCCCCATAAAGCCTCAGTAGCCGAACCCCTACACAGATTACTGGACAAAAAGTCACCGTGGCACTGGGGGCACAAAGAGGACCAGGCGTTTAACGCCGTCAAATCACTACTCACGTCAGAGGCGGTGCTTATCCAATTTGACCCTAACCTTCCTTTAGTACTGGCAGCAGACGCATCCCCTTTTGGGATTGGGGCGGTCCTCAGCCACAGACTTCCTAATGGTGCCGAGGCTCCCATCGCCTTTTTCTCAAGGACGCTCTCGGCCACGGAGCGCAATTACAGCCAGATCGACAAGGAAGCCCTAGCAGCTGTTGCGGCCGTGAAAAAGTTTCACGAATTCCTGTTTGGCCATTTTTTCGAACTGGTTACGGACTATAAGCCCCTCCTGGGCCTACTGGCCGGGGACAAACAGACCCCTCAGGTCCTTTCCCCTAGGATGACAAGGTGGACACTCTTCCTAGCAGCCTACTCCTACAAACTTATTCACCGCCCGGGCAAAACTCTGTCCCACGCCGACGCTCTCAGTCGCTGCCCCCTACCCGCTCCGGCTGAAGACCCAGCTCCTGTCAACGCCATTTTCGAGATCACCCAGTTGGACCTGCCCATCACCGCCCTCGACATCGCCGCTAAAACTAAGACAGACCAAACGCTCGCCCAGGTGCTCGACTGGGTGAGGAGGGGGTGGCCGGGTGGCAACATTGATAACAAATTCACACCCTTCAAGACTCGCATGCAGGAGCTGTCCAGTTTGCAGGGTTGTCTACTGTGGGGCATTCGAGTGGTCATCCCGACCTCGCTGCATACCCGAGTCCTGGAGGCGTTGCACGAGGGACACCCCGGCATCGTGAGAATGAAGGCGTTAGCACGCAGCTACGTGTGGTGGCCGGGTCTAGACGAGGACATTGCAAATTGGGTAAGTTCCTGCAACATATGTCAGGAATCCCGTCCTGCTCCCCCTATTGCCACCCCTACCAGATGGGAGAGCGCCAGCGCCCCTTGGTCTAGAATCCATATCGATCTGGCCGGCCCCTTACATGGGAAGATGTTCCTAGTGGTCGTGGATGCTTATTCCAAATGGATTGACGTGGCACAGCTATCCACGACCACCACACTAGCAATCACCAACGCGTTAACGCGCCTGTTCGTTACACACGGACTACCCGACTCCATTGTCTCCGATAACGGCCCACAGTTCGCATCAATAGAGTTCAGCCGCTTTGCTGCCAACCTGGGCATCCGCCACATTTTCACAGCCCCATTTCACCCTGCCAGTAATGGGTTGGCTGAAAGAGCTGTCAGGACCACCAAAGAAGCCCTCGCCAGGTTTAGCAGGGATGACTGGCAGCACAAACTCTCGAGGTTCCTGATGAGCCAGCACTCAACCCCCTGCTCAGTCACCAATAAGTCCCCAGCGGAGCTCCTGATGGGCCGGCGCCTGAGGACTGTATTGGACAGACTGCACCCACAATACTGCCCTGACTCTCCCCTCGCTTCCTCTTCGGGGGTTAGACATTTTGTATTACAGGAACCAATATTTGCGAGGAATTTCGCTGGGGACCCACTATGGATTCCAGGCGAGGTCATCGCCATCACCGGGCCGAGGTCGTATAGGGTCAAGCTGGAGGATGGTCGTGTTTGGAGGAGGCACGTAGACCAACTGCGGAGGCGCCTCAGCACCCTTGCCAGCAGGAATCCAGAGTCGCCAGCCGAAGGGGAACCTTCTCATCCACCGTTCAGCCACATCATACCCAACGACCAACCTGCACCAGCCGTCGTTCCGGTCAGTCTGAGCGGGGACAACAGCGCCCAGCGAGACCAGCCTGATCCAGTCCACGGAAGCTCGAACCCAGTAACCAACCCTGAGAGTTCCGAGGATGCCCAATCCGGAGAGCGCGTTGGCGACACGCTGCCGGCCCAACCTTCTCAGACTGATGCTGAACGGACAGATAATGTTCCCGAACTGCGCCGTTCCGGGCGCCAACACAACCCCCCTGTCTACCTCAAGGACTACGCATGTTCACATCTGGGGGGAAGGGGTGTTATGTCCTGAGGACTATAGGAGTTCTCACTCAGGTCCACTCACTTTGTGTGGGCGTTCTTCCCCTTTTCCTCATTGGTTGGTTCTCTCCAGCAGCCAGCTATAAAAACAGGCTGCGGGGTCCAACCAGTCGCTGATTGCTGCGAGCCAGTTCCAGGCTTGGCAAGCACGGTCAGCCCTTTATTGTATAATAAAGTATTGTTGCACTCATGCTCTGGTTCAGCCTCTCATTGCTCAAACTTAACATCCTCAGAGCTGAATAAGCTTCTTGGATGAGAAGTGAAACATCTTCAAGGAAAAACCAGAAAGTCTAGTTGCCTCTTGAAAAAACACCTTTGGGCCAATCGTGACCTGAATGACTGAGACTTTCTATAGACTTTTTGCTATCCAATTTGGGATGAATATCTTTTGAACGGTGTGGGAGTATGAATGGATTTCCAGAGGGATTGCAGACTACAGGAACCATTAGCGCTACTCAGGTGACCCTGAGTATATAGATAAACCTCCAGGCGGCCTCAACAACTCTAAAAGAATGAAAATGACCAGCTTTCTGCAAGGAATATAAATCTTTCCTTTCCCAAGCATCCGGTCAGAGCTGAAGAAGCTTTTTGAATATGAAGCAAAACATCTTCATTCTTTTCTTCAAAACAAAAAAGTCCAGTTGTCTCCTGAAAAAAAAGCACATTTGGGGCAGCCATGACCTGGATGACTGAGAGTCTCTACAGACTTTTATACATAATGCTCCTTTCTCTTCCTATTTTCTCCACAACAACCCTAAAGTGAGGTAGACGGCAAGAGAGTGACTGGCTCAAGATCACCCAGCTGGCTTTCATTCCAAAGGGGACAATGGCTAGAATTCACCTTCTCCTGGTTTTTGCACCAGTACCTTAACCACTGTACCAAACTGGCTCCCAGATTCCCGCTATAGCCTCACTTCTGTGCTTCTCCATTTGCTGAGCCATGGTGGCACAGTGGTTAGAATGCAGTATTGCAGCCAAACTTTGCCCACAGCCTAGAATTTGATCTTGGCCCAAGTTGACTCAGTCTTCCATCTTTCCAAGGTTGGTAAAATGAGGACCAGGATTGTTGGGAGCAATATGCTGACATTGTAAATACCCAGAGAGTGCTGTAAACACTGTGGGGTGGTACATAAGTGCTATTGCTATCTATAGACATCTGGGCTTCTATCCTTCCATAAATATTTAACTCCAGTTATCTGGCTAGTAGTAGTAAGATACATAAGGGGCTAGAGATAAGAAAAGGAAGGGACCAGAGTTCCCTGTACCATTATTCCTTTACGGATAACACTCTCTTTGACCCACAGATGATGGAGCCAGAGCTGAAAGTTTGAGACCAGGTGTTGCCAGCAGCATAGAGAGAGCTGGTGGCCTCAATATATATAATTGAGTGATGGGGTGGCAGCTGAGCTTTCAGAGTCATGATAATATCTTGTGTCCATTACAAAAGGTAAAGTTTTCCCCTGTCCAGTTGTGTCCGACTCTAGGGAGTGGTGCTTATCTCCAAAGAGAAACCAGACAGGCTTCCATGGTCATGTGGCCAGCATGACTGTACATTAAAGTGCACGGAATGCTCTTACCTTCCCATTGAAATGGTACCTATTTATCTACTTGCATTTGCATGCTTTCAAACTGCTAAGTGAGCGGTAGCTGGGGCAAATAAAAGGAACTCACCTCATTGCATGGTGCTCAGGACTCAAATCTGGGCTCCTGACTTTCCAGCCAACAAACCCAGCTTCTTTAACTGCTGAGTCATTGAGTCCCCCCTCCCCTTAGTCCATAAATAGGTATCAATAAAGGAGAATATTTATAGCTCGGGGTTGAAATGAGGAGTCCTTGGTGGTCTCTGAGCTTGGTTGTTTTCTTGCAGACATTTCATTACCCAAACTAGGTAATGTTATCAGTACATCACTAGCATTAATGATGTTACCTAGTTTGGGTATTATTGAAACATCTGCAAGAAGACAACCAAGCTCAGAGGGTACCAAGGACCCCTCACAAATAAGTATTCGGCACAACCCTCAAATTCATGAGAAAGATTGAAACATGATTTATGCCTCCAGTTCTTTTTCGTTAAACTTTTTAAAAAATTATTTTTGAAACTTAACTAATTATTGCAGTTCAGAAAATCGTTGATCTAGAAGAGTTCTTGGTGATTATGGATGGCATTTGGGGTGGCGATAGAGCAGGGGTGTCAAACAGGAGGCCTGCAGGCCCGTGATGTGGTCGAATCCGGCCTGTGCGACCATCCTGGAAAATGTAAGGGGCCGGCCTGTGTCGCTTCGGTCCAGTCTACCCAATGCGAAGAGAAAACATTGGGCCAGCGTGGCTTCAGCCCAGTCTACCCAGAGCGAAGAGGAAACATGCCAGCAGTTTGGGGGGTGGCATCAGGCTGGCCATACCCAACCAGTCAGCCACGCCCAGTGAGTGATGTCAAGCTGGACATGCCCACCCAGTCAGCCACTCCACCCCCAGTCTCCCCCACTGAGGTCAACCGTAGCCCTCAATGAAATTGAGTTTGATACTCCTGAGATAGAAGGAAAAGAAGGGCAAAAGGAATTGGAGGCAAAGGAAATAGAAACTGGGATGGAGAAAGAGAAAAACCGAAAGAGTGGAGGAGAGCTGAAGACAGATGGTGTGAAGCTCTTCTAGCATGATGACCCCATTGCTCCACCATATCACGAGTGAAGGATCAGCTGTCCATTCCTCTTATAGATCAAGAACCAAGCGCGAACCTTCTCTCCAGAAAAATTTGCTTTAGGAAAAATGAAAAGTTCGGCATTCGTGTCGCCATCAAAGAATGCTATGAGGCCTTGTGAATAGTCCAGAGAAACTCGGATCCTTTTCAGAGGATGGCACAATGTCAAATTTGTCCTGGGATAGGTGATCGCCTCATACCGTCCCTCATATTGCTGAATTCCCCAGTAGCCCCCACGAGGATCAAAAAGAGCCACCCCGTTTCTCTTTGAAGATTCTCTAACAATTCCCACCCCCCACCACTCCCCTCCCTCCACCACCTCCACCTCCCAGCATATCTTCCCAGAGTTCAAGCTTTGACGGCTTATGACTATAAAGTTGTATCTCAGAGGACTGTTGTTCACATGCTGTTTCGTGTCTTTCCATCTCACGCTTTTCAAATCAGCAGATACGTAGAGCTGAGGATGACCTGTGTTTGGATCCAGAGTCAGATTTCCTGTGTGGAAGAAAGAAAAGTTGCTGGGGAGAAGGAATTACCAACTTTTTCATGCCACCTGGTTTATTTAATTAATAAGTAATATTGTAACTGGTGGCCAAGTTATGCTTATATCTTCTAAAAGGCCAAGAGGCTTGCTCACCAAACTGGTAGCTCTATCTTTCTCAAAAAAGAATAAAAAAATAAAATAAAAGCCCTATTCCACTGATGGGGAAAAAAGAAATTAGTTTCTTTAATCCCTGGGAAACCTGGAGGCTAATACTCAAGAAAAGTAAGTTGGCTTAAGAAAAAAAATTTCTAAGCTAATTATTAGATGAAGGCTTTCTAACAGGGAGCCCTGGGAGCAAAGTAAATTTAGCCAAGAAATTATAGACAATTACATCAAAAAGTTTAATTTCAATATAATTTCAAACGATGGTTGTTCTTTGCTCCATAAACTAAAATGTATTTTATTTTCTACTCAACAGGCCACTGCCAACTCCCTACTATTTATTTCCCAGCCAGGGAGGGGCTGGCTAGCAACTCTACGACTTTTTCCCCCTGAGAGCCGGCTGATTGCCTTCCTTTGCTCTCCTCTCCTCTCCTCTCCTCTCCTCTCTATGCATACACACATCTGGGATGGTCCCCAGCTGTCCTCCTCACTCAGCTCAGGGCAGCTGCCTCTCCACCTGAGGGAGGACAGAAGGCCCCAGCTCTGCCTCTGCCTCTGATTCTGCTTCCTCCTCAGAGCCTTTCAAAGGCTCCAAAGCTGGCCTAGGCTCCCCCTCAACCTCCTCCTTGCCCGATTCCTTTGCTGGCTCTGCTGGTAGTCGATGGGCCAAAACAAATGGAGCCCAAAATATATGTTGCTAAATGAAACCTTTGTTAAGTGACTTTCCCCCATTTTATGACTTTTCTTGCCACCATTGTTAAGTGAATGTTTGCCTTTGTTAAGGTAGTTACATGGTTGTGAAGTGAATCTGGGTTTCCCATTGACTTTGCTGGTCAGAAGGTTGCAAAAAGCTGATCACCTGACCAGGGACACTGCAACCTTCCTAGACATCAGCCTCTTGCCAAGCGTCCGAATTTTGATCACAGGACTGTGGGGATGCTGCAGCGGTTGTAAGTGTAAACATCAGGCATAAGTCACTTTTTTCAGTGCCTTTGTATCTTGGAATGGTCGCTAAATGAACTGTTGTGAATCGAGGACTACCTGTAGCCCTTCCCCACCAGAGGTCTTCGGCAAGATCTGAGCACTCGGTGTTCCTTGCTCTATTTTGCAGTTCTGTGCCCATTTTGATAGGGAACCTCACCAGTGGTGGGATTCAAAATTTCTTGCTATCGGTTCTATGGGTGTGGCTTGGTGGGGGTGGTAGCAGACGGATACTGCATAATCCACATTCCCTCCCCACCCCACCAAGCTGCTTTCCAGCTCCGTTCTCCTGTGCAGGGCAACAAAAGAAGACCCAGCCAATCAGCTGTGGCTCAGGAGGCAGAGAAGAGATGGGGGCGGGGCCAGTCAGAGGTAGGATTTTCCGGTTCTCTGAACTACTCAAAATTTCTGCTACCTGTTCTCCAGAACTGGTCAGAACTGGCTGAATAAAACCTCTGAATCTCACTGGCAGAAATAGCAGAATTTCAGTAAAAATAGACTGTCCTCATCAATGAAATAAAATATATTTCTTGAAATCATTTACAGGTAATCCTGGATTTTGTTTAGTGACCTGTCAAAGTTACAATAACGCTGGAAAATGCGATTTATGACCAATCCTCCAATTATGACCGTTGTGGTATCTCCATGGTCACATGATCAAAATTCAGCCACTTGGTAACTATCATACATTTACGATGCTTGCTGTGTCCTGGGATCATGTGATCACCATTTATATAATCTTTACAGTTACCTACAGGAAAGCAGAGTCAATGAAGGAAACTGGGTTGTCTTAATCACTGCAGGATTCGCTTAACAACTGCAGTGATTAACGACCATGGCAGAAAAGGTCATAAAAGGAGGCATGGCTCACTTAACAGCCTTGCTTAATGATGGAAATTCTGTTTCCAATTGCAGTTGTAAGTTGAGGACTACATGTACCAGTACAGATAATCCTCCACTTACAAACAGTTCATTTAGTGATTGTTCAAAGTTACAACAGAATTGGAAAAAATGGACATGACAGTTTTTCACAGTTACGACCATTGCAGCATTCCCCATAATCATGTGATCAAAATTCAGATGCTTGGCAACTGGTTCATACTTATGACCATTGCTGTATCCCAAGGTCATGTGGTCAACCTTTGCAACCTTTTGACAAGCAAAGTCAATGGGGAAGCCAGATTCATTTATTTTTGTTTGCAATACATTTTTTTTTCTTTCTTCTACAAACATATCGTTGTGTGAACAATGTGGTTACGGGGTATTTTACATTTTAAAACAAACATGACAATAATTTCATACCCCAAACTGTTAATAATTAATATTAATACAAATTATGTATCCTGGTTATTCCAAATTCCCATATGTTGTTTTTATATCAATCTCTATATTCTTAAGATCACTTCCTTTATTATGAATATATATGACTAGTATTTGTAATGTTTAACAAATTATATAATTTTTATAACCATTCATAAATTTGTGTTAATATATATTCCCTCTTGTTTATCCCCTTTTTAGTTCTTAGCTGTGCCACTAGCATGTTTAGAATAAAGTCCTTTCTAATCTCATTTTAGTACAAAGTAATACTCATCCTATTTACATTTAGCAAATTATTCTAGCAATAATATGATCACATTTAACTAATAGCCTATTTGGGAAGCCAGATTCATTCAACAACCATGGCAAGAAAGGTCATAAAATGGGGCAAAACTTACTTAACAAATGTCTCACTTAAGAATAGAAATTTTGGGCTCCATTGTGGTCATAAGTCAAGGACTACCTGTATATGAGCTTTTATGCTGCGTTTCTTTGAAAGCGGAGATGGAAAGAGTCCCATTTTACTGTATGCTGGAAAAGGCAGGCCTTACCTGTTACACTGTCATTAGCTGATCCGCAAGGAATACAGTTCTTGACGCAGCTGGGGATTGGCTCCGATGGAAGATTCAGAAGACCGACATTCTGTGAACCTTAAAAATAAGTCAACTTTAGAGCCTGGATGCCATCCAAGATAATTTATCCTGGATCACAAAATAAGTATCGTTGTGATCATTTATCCTGGTTCAATAAACAAATGTCTCCACTAAATAGAAAACATTGGAATCTTGTAGGTTTTGTTGTTGGGGGATGGTTTAAAGAGTTGTTTTAAAAAGAAAAACCCTATGAATAAAAGCAAAACGTTGTGAACTACATTTGTCTAGGATTGTTATTATTGTGGTTAATCTTCCATTTGATTCACGGTCTAGGACTGGTGAAAACTAAACAGTTCAAGTTCTAACCAAGGACTTCCGAGCTGCTAAGTATATATCTGAGTATATAAGGGCAGTTCTAAGTAAGGTGGGTTGTGGTTGTTTTTTTGCAAATTCAGGATATTCAGGTCTAATAAGTTCAACATTTCCAAGTATCTAGGCAGCTCTTTAGGTATTGCTCCAAGGGCTCCTATTACTGTTGGTACAACCACTGATTTCTTCCTCCACAATTGCTCAACTCAATTTGCAAATCACAATATTTTGTTATTTTTTTTCTAGCTGATCTCTTCAATTCATGCATCGCCAGGTATTGTTGTTATTATTGATCATTGCACAGTCAGCCAGATGTTCAGACTGGGTGTGGCATTTTTGCCTACCTATCGAGTTCTTACCAAGGGCCTGGGATTGACAGAACTGGATGTTTGACAGTGTTACAGGTATTGTCACAGGATGGAAGCTGTTCCCAGTAAAGTCGCCTTTTGCAATAGACTGATTGCATATTTGTCAATGCAATGATGTTCAAGAGGTGGGATTGCACCCAAGGCTCCTATTATTATTGGTACCACCCTTGCTTGCCTTTACCACAGTCGTTCTATTTCTATTTGTAGGTCTTTGTATTTTGTTATCTTCTCCAGTTCTTTCTCTTCTATTCTGCTGTCTCCAGGCACTGCCACATCCACTCTCCAGACTTTTTTTTGTCTTTCTTATCAACAATTGTTAAGTCCGTGGTGTTATGTGATAGGTGCCTGTCCGTTTGAATTCTAAAGTCCCAGAACAATTTAACTTCTTCATTTTCTATGACTTTTTCTATTTTATGGTCCCACCAGTTCTTGCTTACAAGCAAATGATTTTTCTTGCTGATCTTCCAATGCACTATTGTTGCTACTTTGTCATGTCGCTGCTTGTAGTCATTCTGTACAATCTTCTTGCAGCAGCTTACCAGGTGGTCCACTGGTTCTTTAGCTTTTTTGCATAGGTGGCACTTACTGTCTGTTGCTGTATTATTATTATTATACACAAAAAATAATAGTGTACACAGCAAATGAGATAATTACGCTGGGTTTCGTATCACAAATCATTAGTTGAACACTTCCCAAGTGTTTAGGACTGTGTGATGTATTGGTGGATTATGCGAGCAGATCCCAGTAAGATGGCCTTCTGCAACTGACCAATGGTGATTTTGTCAATGCCAATTGTTTTCAAGTGCTTGCCTAGGTCTTTAGGCACAGCACCCAGTGTGCCGAGTATCACTGGAACCACCTGCACTGGTTTATGCCAGAGTCTCTGCAGTTCGATTCTCAAAACCTGATATCTGGTGATTTTTTTCAAGTTGTTTCTCGTCGATTCTGCTGTCACCAGGTATAGTAATGTCGGCGATCCACAATTTTTTCTTCTCCACAATCGTGACATTCGGGGTATTGTGTTCCAAAACTTTATTAGTTTGTATTCGGAAGTCCCACAGTAGTTTTGCACGCTCGTTTTCAACCACTTTTTCAGGCTTATGGTCCCACCAGTTCTTTGCTACAGGCAGATGGTAGTTGTGACACAAATTCCAGTGGACCATCTGAGCAACTGTGTTGTGACGTTGTTTGGAGTCAGTCTGAGCGATTGTCTTAAACAGCTCAATATGTGATTGATGGTTTCATCCGCTTCTTTGCAGAGTCTGCATTTGGGGTCATCAGCAGATTTTTCTATTCTGGCTTTGATTTCATTCGTTCTGATGGCTTGTTCCTGAGCTGCAAGAATCAGGCCTTCTGTCTCTTTCTTCAGTGTTCTGTTGGTCAGCCATAACCAGGTCTTTTCTTTATCTATTTTTCCTTGGATCTTTTCAAGGAACTGTCCATGCAGTGCTTTGTTACACCAACTGTCAGCCTGAGTTTGCATTGCAGTTTTCCTATATTGATCCTTGGTTTGTTGCACTTTGAGCAGTTTCCTACTGTTGACCTCCATCAAAGCTGGTTCATCACTGTCTTTCACATAATCTGCCAGAGCATGTTTCTCTTCTTCGACTGTCTGTTTCACTTGCAGAAGTCCTCTGCTGCCTGCTTTTCTGGGCAAGTATAGCCTGTCAACGTCACTATGCAGGTGCAGAGCATAGTGTATGGTCATCAGTTTTCTTGTTTTTCTTATCCAGGCTGTCCAGCTCTGCCTGTGTCCAGTTTATGATCCCAGCAGTATATCTGATGACAGGTATGGCCCAGGTATTTATAGCCTTGATGGTTGTTGCCACCATTCAGTTTGCCTTTTAGAAGTTTTCTGACCCTTTGTGTGTATTCTTTGCTGACCACATTTTTCACTTGCCCATGCTTGATATTGTGCAACTGCAATATGCCCAGGTATTTGTAGGCTTCAGGTTGGTGGCACTTGATGGTTTGTCCATTTGGCATTTGAATTCCATCGCTTTCTACAATCTTCCCTTTCTTCAGTGCCACTGTGGCGCATTTGTCCAGGCCGAATTCCATGCTGATGTCAGTGACTGGATCTCTTTTTCTGATTTTCCGTATAACTTCAGATCATCCATGTACAGCAGGTGAGAGATTTTTTGTGAATTTTTAGCAGTTTGATAACCCAGGTTAGTTTTCTGTAAAATTGTTGACAGGGGGGTCATGGCAGAGGTGACAAAGAATCACCCTGGGAAATCCCTCTTTTGATGTTGACCAGTCCATGGCTTTCACTTCCAATAAACAGTTCTATTGTTGTTGTTGTTGTTGTTATTATTATTTTACACAAAAATGACAGTATACACAGCAAACGAGATAACTATGCTGGGTTTCATATCACAAATCACTAGTTGAACACTTCCCAAGCGTTTAGGACTGCGTGATATATTGGCAGATTATGCGAGCAGATCCCTGTAAGATGGCATTTTTATTATTATTATTATTATTATTATTATTATTATTATTATTATTATTATTATTATTATTATTATTATTATTATTATATTGTTACAGTAGCCAGGAGATCACAATGCTATCTAATAGCATTAATACAAGGATACACTGGTGTGCTTCCCAAGGTGCACCACAGGAGGGCAAGCTGGCTTTGTACCAGAGTGAAAGACAAGTGGCTCTTCCTGCAATGTCACCCAAGGCCCCCTTGGGTGGGCGCCACAACCAGGAAGGTTCAGAACTGTTGAGAAACTGACTGCCTGCACAGAGCATCAACACAGAACATGCTTTCAAACTATTCGGTGGACAGAAGCTGAAGCGAGTTCACTCTACCACAGAGTGTTAAGGCTCAAACCACCAGATCTGAGACCATCTCCGGTGTCATTAATCCCCTGAGTCACTTTGCCTCTTGTCTAGGGTTAAGTCATCTCTCATATAGCAATACCAATAGCACTTAGACTTACAGCGTATACCGCTTCACAGTGCTTTACAGCCCTCTCTAAGCGGAGTCAGAGTCAGCCTATTGCCCCCAACAATCTGGGTCCTCATTTTACCCACCTCAGAAGGATGGAAGGCTGAGTCAACCTTGAGCCAGTGAGATTTGAACTGCCAAACGGCGGTCAGCAGAAGTAGCCTGAAGTACTGCACTCTAACCACTACGCCACCATGGCTCATATGATTGATTGATTGATTAAATCAATTTATATAGCTACCTATCTCACAAACGAGTGATTCTGGGCAGAACTAAAAACAATGAACTGTTAAAAATTAATTATGTTAATAATTAATTATACTAATACATTAATAGTTATCAATAACAGTTAATAACACTCCCAATCAACACTGACAGGGTAAGTCATTTGTACATAAACAGAATGCAAACCCCACTTCTTTCTAGCACTCATGATATTACCTAGATGGGAAATGAAACATCTTCAAGAAAACAATCAAGCTTAGAAAGCAACAGAGGCCCCACAGTGAATAAATACATAAAACAGCAGAAAAATCAAACTCATAGACAAAGAGATATTTTTAAGAATGGAGGCAACTTGTTACTTCACCTGTCCCCTAGGTCCCCAGGGCTGCTGGCATAACTAGATCCTGAGGAAATCTCTGGAAGTTCACAGTGACAAGCCCAAACTCATCTCATATGATCTCATATAAATCATCCCAAATATGTGGTATGATCTATGCACATGTGAATTAGGGAGGTGTCTGCCTAATCACATACCGTCTTCTTATTTTGGATCCAAGTCATGTTTTTCCCCTTGTCAATTTGAAAACAGACCTGGCCTATCTTTTCAAGTGCATCTTGAAAGAGCCATAATGGCACAGTGGTTAGCATGCAGTATTGGAGGCGAATTCTGCTCACAGGCTTTAAGGGTTTGATCCTGACCGGCTCAAGGTTAACTCAGCCTTCTGTCCTTCTGAGGTGGATAAAATGAGGACCCAGATTGTTGGGGGCAATAGGCTGACTCTGTAAACCGCTTAGAGAGGGCTGTGAAGCACTATAAAGTGGTATATAAGTCTAAATGCTATTGCTATCTCCCTTACCCACTACAATTTCACAAATTACAAGTGATGTATGCAGCATAATATATATTCTTCACTAGGACTGATGGTTTACAATATTGAGAATCTATTCAGGTCTATGCAGTTGGCACTTCAGCAAATGGGATGGGAAAAACATAAAGTATTGTGATGCTCTCGCCTCTTGGTATATTTTCTGATCATCTAGTGTATCTTGGAACATGCAGTGGGGTACATACAGGTAGTCATCAACATATGACTGCAATTGAGCCCAAATTTTGGTGTTGAGTCAATGAGGTCATTAAATGGCTCACCATATAGCTGTGCCTGATTTCATGATTTTTTGTGTGTGCTGCAACCATGAAGCCAACAGACATTTTTTTGCTGGAAACTAAAAGTAAATGCGAATTTCTAACCCATAACGTCTTAAATGGTGGTCACCAGACCACAGGATCTTGCAAAACGCCATAAAGGTGAGCCAATTGCCAAGCGCCCCAAATCCAACCACATGACTTGGAGGGGAAAGGGCCGTCCAAACTTCAAAACTGGGTCGTAAATAGCTCCAGGAAGGTCTGTCGTAACAATGAATGATCACCAACCAAGTGGTCATAAGTCAAGGGCTACCTGTACTGAGGGCAAATTGTGCTACTGTGACAAATGTGACAATAAAAATATTACCTGAGTAGTAGAAATAATCTTAAACCATCATTGTTTATCTGCATCACTCCTGTTTAGCAGATGAGTTACACTTATGGCAATAGCAATAGCATTTAGACTTATATACCACTTCACAGTGCTTTACAGCCCGCTCTAAGCAGTTTACAGAGTCAGCCTATTGCCCCCCAACAATCTGGCTCTTCTTTTTAATGACCTTGGAAGGATGGAAGGCTGGAAGGCTGAGCCAGTCAGGATCGAACTTACAGCAGTGAGCAGAGCCAGCCTGAAATACTGCCCTCTAAACACTATGCCACCACATCTATATGGTAGCAGGAGGGAACGATGACAGGTTGAAGGAACAAAGGAGAACATTTCTTACCTGGAAGAATAAAAACAATGAAAAGCACAGCCAGGACCACATTTCCTACAGCCGATAGGCCAAACAAAATTTTCCACAGGAGAGGGTTCCTCAGAGGATCTGTGGGATTGGAAGGGAATTGTAAAGTTCATCATCCTGTAAGGTCCCAGAAGTTTCCCCAAGCCATGGAGATGCCAAAGAGTGAGACTCAAGATGAGGCTTGCAAAAACATCAGCGTTTTTTATTCTTTGGCTGAAGCAAAAAGTCTGGGTAAATACTATGTCCAAAACATACAGAAAAATGCAGGGGTGGGATTCCATTTTTTTAACAACTGGTTCTGTGGGCGTGGCTTAGTTGGTGGGCGTGGCTTGGTGGTCATGTGACTGGATGGGCATGGCCAACTCAACATCACTCACATCAAGGCACGCATCTCCTCGCCTGGCCTCTCATGACTGTGGGGGATGCTGCAACAGTCGTAAGTGTGAAAAATGGTCCTAAGTCACTTTTTTCAGTGCCATTGTAACTTGGAATGGTCACTCCACACAAGCAAAGTACCAGCAAAGGAGGGGAAAAAAACTCCAGAGAAGTTCCTGAGACAGGAAGTCTAGTCCTGCCATGAATGTAATAAGGGTTAACGGAGAGGCAGTTTCTGTAAGCAACACCAGAATGTTTCCTTCCTGCCTTCCTTACAGGATTAGGCCAGTAATTTCTTCTAACAACCGGTTCTCCGAACTGCTTAGAATGTTAACAACCAGTTCTAGAGAATAGGTGCGGACCTGTAGAATTCCACCCTTGCATGTAAGGAATAGCCACACCTTGCAAGAGTGGCTCAGAGTATTATATACATTTTATGCTGATAGAAACAAAGTTTATCCAATCAGAGACAAAGGTTCATTATTAATGTGGGCAATGTCTTGCCCATGCCCTCCCCTTTCTTATCCATGGAGCATTCTTTGTCCGTGCTCCGTCCATACTTTGTTATCTTACAGAGTATCCCTTGTCCTTGTGTGCTCATGCTCTTAGGCAGCCCCCCCACCCCTTATCTATGGAACAGGATGTTCCTGGGAATTGTCTCCAAGGATGTGTCTAGCTCTGAAGCAAAGTGCAGCAGCGAGAAACACGCTAGAAAAGGATACAATTCTCTTACAGAATGAATTCCTAACAAATGATTTCCATCCTTAGCAAAATAGTACAAGCAACTTCTTTAACAGAAACAAAGAGCAAAGGTTAGATTGATTCATGTCAATACATCCTTTCAATCTGTTCCTTAATTTACACCAAGTAATGTAACTTAAACATCGATTCCCAATGGAAAGCCAAATAGGTGACTGAACGCCCAGGCGTAGGAAGACATATAAACGACCCCACAAAAAAGGTGTCAGATTTTGAACTATCCCCTCAGCTATAGACAATCCTGAATAGGATTTACACCTCACATGGCGTCTGCCGGGACTCTCTGTATAAATGGGGTGCAGTATTCTCCCCTCAGTGTGACTGCTGGGTCCCACATCAAACTGTAGATTACATTGCTGTAAGCTGAGGCCATATACCGATCCAGTATCTTATTTTTAAAAAAATATAAACGATGCTGTGCTTCAATAGTTAAATGAGCTAGACCAGGAATCCCCAAACTTGGCAACTTGAAGACTTGTGGATAGCTGGCTGAGGAATTCTGGGAGTTGAAGACAACAAGTCTTCAAGTTGCCAAGTTTGGGGACCCCTGGCCTAGACATTGGTATTTAAACATAGATACGCTTGACAATTCATCATCATCATCATCATCATCTTCATCACCACCATCTTCTTCATCATCATCATCATCACCATCTTAGCCATTGTCTATCCACTGCAGGACAAAGGCCTCTTCCGCGTGCTTCCAACCAATATGGTCCTGAGCTTTCTTTTGCCAATTGGGTCCGCAATACTTGCTGATCTCATTGATCCATCTTGTTTTAGATCTCTTCATGGATGCTTTTTATCAAGTGGGATCCATTCTGTAACTGCCTTGGTCCACCTTTCATCTTGCTATGGGACCAGACCATTTCCATTTCATTTCTTTTACTCTCTTGATGGCATCGTATACTTCCATTTGTTCTCTAGTCCATGTGCAAGTCTTTCTATCTTGTCTTGTGATGATGAGCATGTATCTTTCCATGGCTCTTTGTGCCTTCGTATCAATTGTGAGGTTAGCGTCCATGTTTTTCCGGCATTAGTTAGATCAGACACTGATTGAAAACATTTCACTTCAGGCATAGGGGGAGGCTGTTCTTGAAAATTATGCTTAGCTTGGCAAATGCCTGCCAATCACATTTAACACTCCATTGCATCATCTTCCATTGAGATGCATTAGCCAAAGTATGACATTTTTTTTTTGGAATTTTTTTTATTGATTTTTAAAAACAAACATGGACAAACAAAAAGTAAAACATAAAACATCTTTTTTGAAAGCAGCTTGATCCCAGGTTACATCTCTTCGTACAGACACAAATTTAAATTCATGTTCATTTTATATACCATTCCATATCTTATTACCATTCTACACTTTCTATATAGCTTCTCCCCTCTTTTAAATTTCTTAATTTAATTTTATTTATTTCATCTCAGTTCAAATCATTATACTTATATTCTTTGTCTGTCCTGTTTCCAGCTGTCTATTATCTTTTCTCATTGAACAAAATTTCACCTGTAATCACTGATTGGAGTATGACGCCTTTATATCTTTCCCCTAAAATTATAACACTTAATATAATACATAACTTCTGTTCGGATTCTGCTTAGTACATTCTAAAATTACACACTGTATTTTAAAAAGAGAAAAAATTGTAAATATATAATATAATTAAAACCACAAATCCATGTCAATTCAACTCTATTGTTAATATTGATATTCATTTAAATCTTAAACATTTTACACATTACTTTTCATATAAGTATCATACTTCTATGGGAACACTTATAAACTTTCCATAGTTGCTTCCCCCCACTTCACTCATATTTTAAAACATTATATCATTGAAATGTTCCCATTCCTTCCTAATTCAATTCTGTCATTTATTTCATTTCATTTATTTTGTTCACAAAAGTTTCACTGACTTATACTGACTATTTTATCCCACTTTTTAATCTTATGTTATTTCTAATTTTCTAACATAATTTCCCATGCAAACATAACAATACAATCTTATGTACCTTTGCAGAATCACTTTTTCAGTTAAATTTTTACCCATTATCTCTAAATAAGTCCTGTTTCTTTACATCTTGTTTCGCACCTTTGTAGCTTCTCTTCCCTTCCTTCCTCCCTTGCTTCTTCTCTCTGCCCTTTTTACCCCCTTGTCTCTCCACCTCCATTTCCCTCTTCTGTGTTCCCTTTTTCTGTTGCTTTCTAACCTTATATCCACTTTTCACCTTATTTTTCCCTTTTTTGGTTGTTTTGGGGGGTCTTAAAGTCTCCATTCTCTTTCCCCCCTTTCCCCCTTCTTCCCTAATTAAAGTTAGTTGTTCATCAAAGATGGCTTCTTCTTTGTCCCAATCTTCTTGTTGCGCAGTCAGTTTCTCATAGGTACAAATCGCCATTTCTAAGAAGTGAAAAACAGAGCCAAGAGAGCCCTTCCCTTCTTGTTCCTCCTCTTTATATTTTTTAAATTCCAGTTCATCCACAAGCAATGCCATTGTAAAAAAAAATTTCAAACAACCACCCAAGTGTTTTTAATTATTTAGATATAATTTCCAAGAGTCCCAAAGTCACCAAGCAATCCAAATACACACAAGCTGATTCTTTTAACATTTTCTTCTTTTTTTCACTTTCTCTTCCTGGGGTTGCTATTTAGTTACAAAGTTCCAGTTAAGATGTATCTTTTAGAAGTCTTGTTAGAGTTTAATCAGATTCTTTTAAATTCCAGACAGTCTCCTCCTTCCAAATCTTACTTTTATTCTTTTCCTCTCCCTTCCCACTTACATCAAGAAAAAAAATTTTTTTTTAATGTTCAGAAATCCTTATTGTCCCCTTGACATTTAATTATCCAGTTTAATTACCTCTTGATGCCAAAGTGGGTTTTTCTGATTTCTCATTCATCTCTGTTCGCTGTCAACATAAGGAAGGAGAGTGAAATAAAAAACTTTCCCTTTTCACTTTCATTCGCTGCTTCCGAATCTTCTTTGGGAGCGATGTATCTTTTTAAAAATTTAAATTCAAGGATACCTTGATTGTTGCTTCTTATCCCAGTCAGCTAAAACTTTCACTTCTTATCTTCGTAAATAACAATAGGATCTGTTACATCAATTCCCATATCAATCAATAATTGCTTATACAAAACTAAATCTGTACATAATAAAGATAAACATGAGAATTCAGCCTCCATTGTTGACAAACTTAGATGTTTCTGTCTAATAGATCTCTAATAGATCAGATACAAAACCTATTTTAGTTAATTCTTTGACTATACACTGGTTCCACTCATATCCTGATTGCTTCAAACCATAAAGACTCTTTTTCAATTTCCAGCAATCAGTTGTTTTATCAGTATTATCATTTTTGAGACCTGAAGGTTTCTTTAAATATATAGTGTGTTGCAACAGTGCATGCAGATAAGCTGTCTCTACATCCAAATGATTTATAATATATTTCTCCTTAGCTGCCCACGCTAATGCTGCCCTTAATGTAGTAGCCTTCAGACTAGGTGCAAACACCTCATCATAGTCATTTGCTGTCTAATTAAACCCTTGTGCTACTAACCTGGCTTTATGGGTAACAGTCCCATCTACACCTGTCTTCAGCTTATATATCCATTTACATCCTATGGCGCATTTACCTGGTGGTAACTTAACATTTTCATATACCTCCAGTCTTTTTAATGATTCCAGTTCCTTATCCATTGCTTTCTGCCAAGCAGCCTGATCCTTAGCAGGATACAGTTTTAGTTCACTATAATTATTTGGAACTGTATTCACTTGACATACAACACTAGCTTGATATCTATCAGGTGGTCGTGTTACTTGGGTTGAACATCTTGGTAGTACAGGGCTTACTGGTGGACTTTCCTGTGCCACCTGCTCCTGTTCTTCTATTACCTCCTGTTCTTCCTCTTTAATGGCTATTTGTTGTTTACTGATATCATCTTTAG